ATAGATATGAATTCTACATGCAGTATCTGTTTCATGCACTACAGCAGATTTTGAGGAAGTCAGAGCCCAACGCCAAAAGAGGTTCAGGGTCCCTCCTGATAGAGACCCCACTTGGAACCTTGAGCACCACCTACCTACCAAACCAGCCCTCTCTCTCCCCTGGTGAGCACTCTCATTGGTAAGATACCAGCAGGCTGCCACCTTGATCTGGCCAGGTAGGCTGACAGACCTTTGTGGTATTTGACTAGGTGCCCCTCTTGGGACCATCTAGGACCCAACAGGCAGGCAGTGCCTCCATAATCAAGGCCACTGGTCCCCTAGACCCATCTCACTGGACATACCCCTGCTTCCCTAAAAGGAATGTAGGGTTCTTTCCTGGTGGTGTCAGAGACATCCTTTCTCTAGAACATCATCTAGAGATCTGCCAAGGCCACATAGTTCTGTATCTGCTTGTGGAAGGTATATGTGGGACATGGGGATGGATTCTGGCTGCCTCCTTCCAGATTGTCCAGAACCCCTCCAGTGGGCACAGGCCTCCAGCTGTTAATCAGATGACATGAGCCTCCCCTGGCCTGTGCCTCCCCACCTCCTTTAGTGTGATTTCAGTTTGGTTTTTATACTTACAGAGTTCCTTATTCTTCCAAAGGGGTTTTCTAAGCATTCTTTCATTGGATGCCATTTACATTAAAATTTATTTCTTATTTATTTTGAAAGATGTACATAGGTTTCTGTTTTTTCCCAAAAGAACTTCACAAGCAAGCAATCTGGATTAACTGAATGACCCGGGGAAGGAGGTTCAGTTGTCCTGGTTCTATGACCCACTGAGCTCACGTTTTCATTATCTCCCTTCTTTTCCAACTTTTTTTTTTTTTTAAGATTTATTTTTATTTATTTATGCAAGCACTGGGTACAGTCAGAAGCGCGGGAGGGTGAGAGAATTCACCAGAGCCAGAGCGGGGAGCAGAGCAGGCAGAAGGACCGAAGTACACTGCTGAGGGGAGCAGCGGGCGGCAGGAGAGGTCTGCGCGCCATGTGGGACCCTCCTCCGGTGGCCGGGGAGCAGCCGGGGATCCAACCGGCGCTGCAGAAGCTGCGGGCAGCTTTGCAACCCAGCGCTTAACCGCTGAGCCACCCGGGAGGCCCCAACTTTTTTTTGTTTTTGTGGGACCCTCGCCAGTGGCCAGGGAATGAACCAGGGAACAAACCAGTGCTGCAGAGGCCGCAGGCAGACTCACAGCCCAGCACTCAACCGCTGCGCCACCAGGGGAGGCACTCTTTTCCAACTTTTTTTTTTTTTTTAGATTTATTTATTTATTTATACAAGCACTGGGTACAGTCAGAATCACGGAAGGGTGAGAGAATTCACCAGAGCCAGAGCGGGGAGCAGAGCAGGCAGAAGGACCGAAGTACACTGCTGAGGGCAGCAGTGAGCAGCAGGAGAGGTCTGTGCGCCATGTGGGACCCTCCTCCCATGGCCGGGGAGCAGCCGGGGATCAAACCGGTGCTGCAGAGGCTGCGGGCAGCTTCGCAACCCAGCGCTCAACCGCTGCGCCACCAGGGAGGCCCTCTTTTCCAATTTTTTACCAGATATTTTCTTCTGAAATCTTAAGTGCTTTTTCAGAGCTTATGTTCCTTAACCTTTGCCTGAAAAGGCAGTGGAATTTCCTGTGAGGTTCAGAATTTTCCAGGGCTCCCTACAGGATTATTTATGTAAATGAAGCATTCTGAGATCCCTACAGCCTATTTGGATTTTGACCCAACACACACAAATCCTTGCGCATAGTGAAGCACTTAATTTGGAGGTAAGCTTTGCTGCTTACCATCTAACTGGGTCATTCCCACCCCACTGTGGAACAGGAACTACTGTCTCTGTCATCTGTAAGATTAGAAATGTCTTAAAAGGAAGACAGCTGTCCCAAAATGGTACTACTGTCTCATCAATATTAACTTTTTTAAAGATTTATTTATTTAAGATTTATTTATTTTACAAGAACTGGGGTATAGGCCAGAGGCACCAGGGGGTGAGAGGATTCACCAGAGACAGAGTGGGGAGCAGAACAGGCAGATTGAAATACACTGCTGAGGAAAGCAGCGGACTAGACAGCAGAGGTCTGCTAAAGCTGATGTAAAGTTTTTATTTATTTATGCATACAGAACTGGGGTGTGGGCTGGAGGTGCTAGGGGTGAGAGGATTCACCAGAAACAGAATGGGGGGCAGAACACGTGGATCCACTGAAAAATATTGCTGAGGGGAGCAGCAGGTGAGACAGGAGAGGTCTGCTGCGCCATGTGGGTCAGCTCCCTGGCCAGGGATCCTAACTCATGCTGCATTAACTGGTGATAACTTGATAGAACTGAGACTTTAACCCTTGCAACACCAGGGAAGCCCTTTAAAAGTGCCTTGTTCATCTTATTTTGTTATCTAATTGGTTCCTGAGTCTTAACTCTTCTTCCAGGAACTGCCTCCATGAGGGCAGGGATCATCTTTTTCTCTGAAGCTCTAGCACAGGACTGAGCAGCCTGGCCTGCTGGCCCTCTGTAGGTCTGATTGGTTTGAGGTCATTGAATGAGGTGATGTTTCTGAGTCCTAAATCCTCAGGGGATGATGTTCTGTTCATTCCACAAATAAATTTATTACGTACCTACTATGTGCCAGATACTGTTGCAGGCCTTAGGATTAAATCTGAAAATAAAAACCAAAGTCCTTGTTCCTGTGGACCTTACATCTTAGTAGGGGAGAAGACAAATGAGTAAAATACATAGATAAATATAAATGGTAAGAAGAAAAATAAAGCAAGAAAAAGTGAGAGGCAGTATTGGGAAAACTTGTACTTACAGACTAGAAAGATCTCACCAGAGGGTCTCTAAAGATTTACAGGAGTGGGGTCTCCGTGCTGGCACAAGGGGTTAAGCACAGCACTGAAGCTATCCACAGCCTCTGCATGAGTTCCATCCCAGCTGGCCAGGGAGCTACCCACATGGTGCAGCAGACCTCTCCTGTCTCGGCCGCTGCTCCTCTCAGCAGTGTATTTCAGTCAGTCTGCCTGTTCTGCTCCCCACTCTGTCTCTGGTGAATCCTCTTACCCCCCACACCTCTGGTCTGTACACCAGTTCTTGTATGCATAAATAAATCTTTAAAAAAAAAAAAAAGATTTACAGGAGTTAAGAGGAGTCGTCTGTGGACAACGCTACCCATCTCTCTCCAAGGGCCTTCCCCTCTCTTCATGTGGGTCACCTAGTCCAGAATAGAGCTGTGAAGTCACTGGCACATCATTAGACATTGTGTCATACCCTTTTCCCCACCCCTACCAAGACTCTGTAATAAACTCTCATACTAAAGTACTAGTAACTACTCATGGACAACCCCTCGGTGGGGGGAGCCAAGTTCTGAAAAGACACACAAGGAAATGTCTTATCTCAGGAAGGAGCCCAGGGGATGGGAGCCACCCCCTCCTCCCTACCTCTCTCCCCCACAGAAATTGAGTCCCACATAATAAAGCAAGAAGATATACTTAATGGCAAAGAGAATGAGATTAAGGAGTTGCAGCAAATTATCAGCCAGCAGAAACAAATCTTCAGGTGAGGGGTCGGGCCAGGCTGGGGGTTGTTGATGGAAGTGGGGAGCCAGAACTCTGGTCCCTGTCCTGGGCTGTGCCCAGCCCATGCCCAGCCGGCTCCATTGCAGGAATCACATGTCTGACTACCAGATCCAGAAGCAGCAGGAGAACTACATGGCTCAGGTGCTGGACCAGAAGCATAAGAAAGTCTCCGGGACCCGTCAGGCCCAGGGCCATCAGCGTCGCAGGGAAAAATAAAATTGTCACCTTTCCATTCTTCCGCTGTAATGCCTGTCTGCTGTGGGGATTCCTGTTCTTACCCTCCCTGTGCCTGTGCTCCCTCCTCAGGCCTCACTGGTGGTCTGACACTCCCCCCCCCCCCAGGAAGGGGTAGGGGAAGAGTACAAGGGACTCTGCTTCCTGCCTCCTTGGCCTTGGTGACCTGAGAATCAAGTTACTGGAGACTGGGTGGGGGACAGGTCTTGGACCACCACCTGCCAGGCCATCTCTAGGTTTAGAGGCGAATGCTACTCAAACTCCTGGCCCCTGCAACTTCACTGCCTCCCTTGGCTACTAGTGGGATCTATGTGTTACAAGGTTGTAGTCTAGTGAAGGAACTGGGTCTTTGTTGTCTGTCCTTCCTCACTCTTGGTATTTAATTCTTCCCTATATAAACAGCCCTGGTTACCCTAGTAACACCCCACCCACTCCCAGGGCCCTGGTAAATTTAACTCTCCCAACAGAGGAGTGGTGTGTGTGTGGGGGTGGGGTGTGTGTGTGTGTGTGTGTGTGTGTCCTGAGCAGAGACTTAAAGACAAGCTCTTCCAGGACCACAATGAATTTGGGAACACAGTTTCCATCACATTCAAGAATGTTACATATATGAATCACATTTTTACCTTCTTACATCTTCCCCAAACAGAAGCCTAATCAGTCTGTAGAAGTGGGAAGCAAGGAAAAGGACAATGCTGTGTCTATTTTTAAGGTGGGGAAACAGTCTTGGAAGGGACCGACTGGCTCAAATTGCACATGCAATTGTTAGCAAGACCTGGCGGGGTGGTCTCAAGGTCTGGTTCCCGGGGAAGCACACTGACCATGGTGTCTGGCAGATGCGGCCCCAGCTCAGCCTCGGTTTCCTCACCTGTAATAAGTAGAGTTGGGCCTACCTCCTGGCTCGTGGTGACAGGCCTGCTTTCCCCTCACCTTCCTGTCAGCCGAAGCCTGGAGAGCTACCCCAAGCGCTCCAGGCAGCGCCAGTGGGGAAAGGGGTTGGAAGGGTAGCCCCAGGGCCCAGGTCTCTCCTGATGTGGACGCTGCTGTCTCCCAGGCAGACGCGTCCGCTTTAAGGCGCGCTGACCCCTCGGCATCCGCAGGCGGGGCGGGGACAGTGCGGGCGTCCCGGAGGCGAGTGCGAGGGAGGTAGTGCGCGGCGTCCGGCCCACCATGCTGACAGCGCTCGCCCCGCCAGCCCTGCCCGGGCCCCCAGAGCCGCTGGTCGCCGCACCCGCACGGCGCCAGGACTCCTCGGGCTCTTCCAGCTCCTACTACACGGCTCCAGATTCGCCAGAGACCCCGGACGCTGGGCCGGACGCAGAAGGCCTGGCAAATTGGCCCCGGGTGGCCCCTGCGCTGGGGGCGGGCGCGCAGCCTCGCCTGTCCGTCAGCGCCCAGAATAGCCGCCAGCAGCTCCGGCCCGGCTCGGGTTTCCAGCGAGGCCTGGGCTCGGACCCGTGGCCACCCCCGCCCCAGCTGCGCACGCTGCCGTCGGGGGAGATGGAAGTCATCTTCAGCACTGGACCCCTGTTCAGCCGCCCCGACGCGGCCGACAGCGAGGTGCAACAGCTCACCGAGCAGGCCTTCCGCGGCCTCTCTCCGCCGGGTCCCGCGTCTCCAGACCCCGCCACACAGCAGCCCCAGGACCCTGAAGGTGGCTCCCGCTGGGCCACCTACCTGGAGCTGCGGCCCCGCGGACGGAGCCCTGCCGCCCCGGCGCAGTTCGAGTGTGTGGAGGTGGCGCTCGAGGAGAGCGCTGCGCCCGCCAGGTCCCGCACGGTGCCCAAGCGTCAGATCGAGCTGCGCCCTCGGCACCGGAGCCCCCCGCGGGAGACCAGCGCGCCGAAGCCTCCCCTGCTCCTGCGCACCGGTTCCCTGGACGAGTCGCTGGGCCGCCTGCAGGCTGCCGCGAGCCTCGTGCAGACCGCTTTGGCCAGAAAACTGAGCCCCGTGGCCCCTGCCCGCAGCAGCGCCACCTTCGGGTCCACCCGGCGACCAGAGTCTTCGCCCCGGGATACGACCGGCAGTGCCCGAGTGGTCCAGGAACAGACCAGATCTCGGCCGCCCCGGATAGACGGCAGTTCGGTCCCCGCCAGGGCCCCGCGGCCGTGGCCCAGCCTCCGGGAGCGTGCGATTCGTCGAGACAAACCCGCTCCCGGAACGGAGCCCCTCGGTCCGGTTAGTTCCAGCATCTTCCTGCAGTCAGGGGAGAAGACCCACGAGGCACCCGACCAGGAGCCCAAGACTCGCTTCCCACCAGAGACTCCGGAGCCAGCGGCTCCGAGGGCGCAGAGTCCGGCTTTTGAGTCTGGGGCTTCCTGGGACCTTCTGACGAAGGCCGCGACGCCCGGGAGCCAGTCCCCGCCGTGGCAGGCTCCAAATGGGATTGTGCGAGGTCCTCGTTGCGTGTCCCCCGAGAACCTGCCCCTGTGGACTCGGGCTAGTCCTAGGGCCCGTAGCCCGCCGCTTCCCCAGGCATCCTTTGAATGGAAAAATCAGGATCCCACCGTGGAGGAAACTGTCAGCAGGAGGAGCCCTTCCCCTCCGACCCTTTCCCAGTGGAATCAGGGCATTGCCAGGGCAGGCAGCCCATCTCCTGAAGTTCCTTCCCAGTGGGCGGTTCGGCATCCGCCTGTGGGGAATAAGGAAGAAAGTAGGAGCCGGTCCCCACAGGCCTTGCCATCATGGGAGGTTCCAGATCGTCCTGTTGGGACATGGAACCCATCACCCCGAGAGATGTGGGATTCATCGATAGTGTCTCACCGGGAAGCTCTGAATGGCGTAGCCCTAGAGAGGCTGGCGCCGGAGACTCCGGAGCCTGCAGAGGCGCGGAGCCCGTCCACGCGGGAGATGCCAGACCTCGCCTTCGGAAGCAGTCAGCGGTTGCCAGAGGTGGCTGCACCAGAGCTGCCCCCCAATAGCCTCCTGGGCACGGTGGATACCGACGCTCGCCCCGAAGCCTTAGGCCCGGGAGAAGCGGCCTCGGGTCGCCGGCGCGTGGCCATTCCGCGGCCCCGCGACGTGCGCAAGATGGTGAAGACCACGTACGCGCCCAGCTTCCTGGCGGGAGCCTCGGGCTCAGGGCAGCCTTTGCCTCCTGCAGACCCCAACGAGGAGAAAGGCGGCGCATCCAGGAAGCAAGAACTGGGGTCCCCCGCCCCGGCTTACTACACTTCCGTTTTTCTCAAGGACTTTCTGCCGGTCGTGTCGCACCCTTACGAGCCCCCAGAGCCACCCCCCGACACAGTTCCCAGGGACGCTTTGCAGCCCAACGGGGTCCTGCGGAGGAGAGCGGAGAACAGCACGGCAAAACCCTTCGCTCGCACTGAAATCCGTCTGCCTGGTGCCCTGGCCTTGGTCCACCGACCCGAGGGAACCCGGGGAGCCCTGGCGCACGACCCTGCTGGGGAAAACCTGGATGCGGAGGTCCAGTGCCTGCTCCCGGAGGGCGAGGGCCGCGCCAGCCCTCAAGGCGGCGCTCGCAGCTCACCCCAGAGGTCGCCCGTGGGGTCAGCAGGGGCTCGACGACCAGGACCCGGGTCCCCGCTGGTACACCCAAGGTCGAGCCCTGGAAGAGCGCCCAAGCTGGAGACACCCCCCACTGCCCCCAAGCCTGAGGCCGCGGCCCAATCGTCCCCCTCCCGGGAGTCCACTGGCAAAACGGCCCCGCCCCTGCCCCGCGCGGCGTCTGCGCCCCCCATGGACCGAGCCCCTGGAAGCCCCTCCCTGGGGCCCCGCAGACAGCCCCGGGCCGCGCCCTCGGGGAAGGTCCTGGTGGACCCCGAGAGCGGCCGTTACTACTTTGTGGAGGCGCCGCGGCAGCCTCGGCTGCGGCTGCTCTTCGACCCAGAGAGCGGGCAGTACGTGGAGGTGCTGCTGCCGCCCTCGCCCCTGGGGCCATCCCGCCGCGTCTACACCCCGGTGGCCCTGGGTCCTGGCCTCTACCCGCCCGCCTATGGGCCTGTCCCCGGCCTCTCACTGCCGCCGTCCCCCGGCCCCCAAGCCTTCAGCGGCCATCAGCTACCCTGGGCCTCGGAGGCGGCGTCCCTGGATGGGATGTACTACCTTCCGGTGAGCGGGAACCCCAGTCCTGCGCCTCCCCTGCTGCTTTGTGCACCGCCCCCCTGCTCCGGTCCCACCCAACCGGGTAAAGGATCCTTGTTTCCAGCGTGAGGCTCCGGGGTTTGACCCCCACGGTGTTGGAGACTATTGATGGCCTTGGAGGTTCTGGCATCCTGTCCCCCGCCCTTCTTTCTTTCTATCACCTCTTTATTCCCCCATCCTATCCGGGCTTCAAAATGAAAGTTACCTTTCAGGGATGTGTCCCAGACTCCAGAGCTGATGGAACTAGAGCTCAGGAAGTGGCTGCCTACTTCCTCCGCAAACAAAACTGAATATCCCTTTTCCCAGGCATTGCCAGAGTGTGGTGTGTTTGTGTGTGCAAAAGTGAGGAAACACAGGACTTTTCTCCAGAAGCCAACCTAAGAGGGAGTTGGACTTCCCACGGGGCAGCAGGAAATGGGAGCAGTCAGGGAGGGCTTGCCCCAGAGCTGTCTAGAGAGCTCTAGCGGTCTAGAGAGCTGTCTAGAGGCTAGAAAGCTCTGGTGGGATGGAAGGAGGACTCTGGCAATCAAATCTGTTATTCTTTCTTTTTTAAAGATTTATTTATTTATGCATACAAGAACCGTGGTACAGGCCAGAGGTGGGGGCGGGGGGGGGTAGAATAAGATTTGCCAGAGACAGAGTGGGGAGCAGAACAGGCAGATCAACTGAAATACACTGCTGAGGGGAGCAGGGAATGAGACAGGAGAGGTCTGCTGCGCCATGTGGGTGAGCTCCCTGGCTGGGGATCACACTGGTACTGCAGTGGCTGCTGATTGCTTCATAGTGCTGAGGCTTAACCCCTTGCGCCAGCAGGGAGGCCCTCAAATCTGTTATTCTTTGCAAGAATCTGAACCTTGCCTGGAAGGCTGAGGGAGAAAGTGGCTAATACAGCCCCCTTGCCAGGTCGGGTCTGAGAAAGGAAGCTGTGGGGACAACAGGTGGAGGTGGAGCAGGGAAGTAACAGGAGGGGAGGGAGAGGGCTAGCCAGGATTTGAAATAGGGATCTGGGGGTGAGGAGGAGGGGGCTGTATTCACCAGCTGAGAGTACTACACCTCAACCTTCCCCTCACCCACAGTCTCTGACTTGGCTTCTGGAAACCCTCAGAGCTGAGCTGGCTCATCCAGGGCCAGGAGTGGGGGTTTCAGTCATTCCAGAGTGGGGGGTAGATAGAGTAAGTGGTCAGAAAGGACTTACAAGCAGGAAGGATGGTTGAGCTATTGTCCCAGAGGAGCCTTTTGACCCCTCTGGGTGGAGTGGAAAGTGTGTTAGGGCTGGCAGAAAAGGGATTCCCATGGGAGTGGGGGGTGGCAGCTGATTCCACTCCCCAATAACACCTGTGGCAGCCATGCCCAGAAAGGGGCTAGCTCTGTAGGCTGGTCACAGTATTGGAAGGGACAACTCAGAGTCACTGAGGAAGGCGGAGGGAGATGAGGGGAATTTGCATGGGTGGGACGTGCTCTGTGTGGATCTGTGTGTAGTTGTGAGCTTGAAGTGGCTGGGTGTTGCTGGACTAATATGTGATATGATTAATTTAGGGAAGGCCAGTTTCCATTAGAAGTAGCGTTAGGGATGGAGATGGATGCCTTTCCTAAATTCTAGGTTTCTGGGGGGCCTGGGTCCTTTAGTCATTGCCCCCCTGCCTTGGACTGGAATCTGTCTGGGAAAGAATAACCTGAGTCAGAATAACCTGGACATCTCATGGCCAGAGATGCCAGATTTGAGGGCATGGAGGGCCGTGGGCCACCCCTGGGCCCCTTACCTCATTCTGGTGTGCAATAAATCTCTGACACAATGAGCCATGATGGCTGAACAAACTGGTGTCAGGTGTCTGATTTCCCCCCACGGGGCCCTTCTATGCTGGGGTATGGCCTGAGTAAGGGAGCTGAGCAGGGATCAGGGAAGGGACCACGTGTCTTTCTTTCATGCATTGTGGCGTCATTCATCAGTGAACTTGCATCGTAGGAGGAAGCCCAAACACAGCTGAGGTCTCACTCCCCTTGGTGGCAGACTGGCCAGTGAGCTTTGGAATCTATCAAGCATGGGTTCCAATTTCAGCCATGGTCCCTCTAGCTGTGGGGTTTTGGGTTTGTCGCTTCTGCGTCTTCCTGTCCTCAGGGGTGAAGAGGCCACTAACCAATCTCGTCCTCTCCCAAGGTGTTCGGCACAGAACCTGTCACACTGTCCGACCCCCAGATGTGGGAGGTATCAGCCGCCGGGTGCCCTTGCCTAGGCCCAGCCTCTCCCCTTGCCTCATTGTGCCTTATCTGTGAAATGGAGCTCAGTTGACCGGCACCAGGGACCCGCTAGAGGGGGTGCATACGTGGCATCTCCAGGGCCCTGGGGGAGGGAGAGGAAGAGGGGTGAAGTGTCGGTTCCCCATTGGTCTGGGTCAGGTGTTCCGGTGTGGGCCCACTGCACTCCATGCGCATGTACATCTACACCACGAACACAGCCGGTGCTCACTGAACTGGCTCCCACACTATGAAGCTGCCTTTGCTATTGCCACTGCTACTGCTACTGCTGGGAGCCTGGGCCCTCCCAGGGGACCTCGGGGACAGGGCCCCAGTTACAGCCACTGCCCCACAGCTGGATGATGAGGAGAAATACTCTACTCATATGCCTGCTCACCTGCGTTGTGATGCCTGCAGGGCGGTAGCCTACCAGGTGAGAACCCCCCCCCAGGACCCCTTACCTGGGCCCCTCCCCAAGCCAGACACCTCCATCCACCTCAGATTCTATCACTGCCTTTCAGCCTCTGAGCCCCAACCCTGGCCACTGCGTTATACTCAGTCTCCATATTGCCATCTTCACCTCATCCAAACCTTCATGCCTCAGTTTACCCATTCACCTGCCCAGCAGAGAGCAGACAATCTGGGACACCACCAGGTCCAATTTCTTGAGACCCCAGGGAGTCATGAGTTTGTCAGACTCCTTTACCAGGCCTATCTCAGGTCTGGAGTCCCTCCTAAAACATGACTGGGAGTGCTGGTGTGTGCACATGTTGAGTGCATGAATATGTGAGTATGTGTGTCTTCATTCACACACACACACCCTCCAGTGTGTCTGTGTACTGTGTGTGCGGGGCCTGAGTGCAAGTGTCTTTGAAGACTTGGCTCTGGAGATTTCCTTCTTTCCTTATTATTGTAGCTTAAAATAGCAAATGCTGATGGGCAGGTATGCCCTGAGGGTGGAAGGGAGACCTAGAGCCTAGGCCAAACCTTCCATTTCAGCCTTTCCTACCTCTCCACCCAATCCCAGCTGGCCCGGTTTCAGCTTTCTGGGGTTGAGGGAGGGCCATGAAGCCTGCCTCACAGGTGCTTCCTCCTCGAAAGCCTCCCTTGCCATCTCATTCTCCCCCAAAGACCCAGACTCCTGTCCTCCCTTCCCCTGCACTGAGCAGTCCTGAAGGCCTGACTTTCAGGACGTCCTTGTTCCAGATGTGGCAACACCTGGCAAAGGCAGAAGCCAAGCTGCACACCCCAGATTCTGGGGAGTGGCAGGAGCTGAGTGAGTCGGCATACACCGATGTCCTGGACCGGAGCTGCTCCCAGACCTGGCAGGAGTGAGTTACAGTGCAGCCTTACCTCCCTCCTCCAGGGACGGGGCTCTTGGGTAGAGGTTCCCATTCTCCCTCTCACACCACCTGCGTGCTCCACTAAGCTCGCTGGCCCAAACTAGGGGGCTGGCTGGGAAGAAGCCTGAACTCTGGAGGTGGAAGCAAGTAAAAGGGTGGGGGGCCAGGTGGCTGTTTGCTCTTGGGCCAGGCTTCCCCCTTTCTGGTCTTCAGTTTTCCATCAGGAGGATCAGAACTTGCTGAACTCAGCAAGTGCCCAGCCTCGTTGAGAGACAGATCCTCTGATGGCTGGGCTCCTGGTAACTCTGCGTCCTTTTCCCTGCTGCCTCCAGCTACGGGGTCCGAGAAGTAAACCAGGTAAAACATCTCACAGGCCCTGGGCTTAACAAGGAGACAGAGCCAGTCGTCAGCGTGATGATCACCGGGGGACTTTGGCCCAGCAGGTGATCACAGGAGGGTGAAGGTGGAATGGAGCCCTTAGAGGCTTGTGCCCATCTGGGGCCAAGGGGATCCTGAAGCTCCTGCTGTTCTCCCCTAGGCTCTCCATGACATGTTTTCACTACCTGGGGGAGTTTGGAGAAGACCAGATCTATGAAGCCCACCAACAAGGCCGAGAGGCTCTGGAGACATTGCTGTGTGGACCCCCGCGGGGTGCCTGTTCAGGGGACGCACTGGCCACAAAGGCAGAGCTGTAGTCCACCTCTTCCTTCCCCTTCCCAGTCTGCCCCTGGAGATCATCAAGCCTTCCTTTACATTGGCCCCATTCATTTCTGCGGCTTCCCAGAAGGCAGGGAGGACTTACTCTTCTGTGCTGCCATTCGCCCTCTCACCTCCAGCTTCCGGGCACTGTGGCCTGGGCAGGGGCCAACGCCTTCCCCTCTCCTTGGACTGAAATAAAGCCCAGTGACCTCAATTCATTCTCTTTGCAAAAAGGTAATGGAGGGGGCAGGGTGTTGGAAAGACAGACACCGGTGTTTCTACCCATGTCCCTCCTACAGAGGGCCAAATGCTTGTCCCCCCCGTTTCCCAGAGGTGCGAGAGCTCTGTCACGGTTGGAAATGTGAGCAAGTGGTCAGGTCAAAGGCATATATAAGCAGTCAATTATGTGAAAGGTGAGACCCTAAGCGGGCCACCTGTTGGATACACCTACTTTGCCTACTATCCCTTCCCAGAAGGCTAGTCTCTCTGGGTCTATACCCTATGGCTACTCACTTTCTGGACTCTGCCTCTGACCCCAGCTGGCAAAGTTGGACCCTAAGTGCCCACTGGGATAGGGCAGGACAGGGTTCCTGGAACCTACGGGATTCAGCATCTTAGCTCCAAGTCCTGTATTTCCAGAAATTCTCTCCTGGGGCCCTACCTGGTTTGGGGGTCAGGTGAACAGAACAGCATAATGCCCAGTCCCAAGCTGAGCGATAGGAAGGCATTCATGGGGGGTGGTCAGCTGCTAGGGGGATGGGAGTACCCTAGACAGGCCCTGGCCACTCCAGTTTCCCTGAGCAGCCCTGCAGCCCAGCCCCCTACATTCCATAACCTGTCACATGTTGTCCACATGCCTGAGGCCTCTCTCACTGGCCCTCATCCCAGGGGAGAACCCCAGGACCCAAGGAACCAGCTGAGCCGTCAGTAGTATGGGGCGTGGAACCCACAGCCTGTGATGTGACCCTGTGTGACCTGTATTTGTGTGATTTAGAGATACTCTGCATCAGAGTCTGACGTCATGGGTCCATGTGTGTAACTGTGTATCTGAGACCACATGCAACTTCCAACCTTGTCTTTATGTGTGTGGTGTGTGATTTGGGGTGTATTGCGTGTCCACAGGACTGGGACTGCAAAGTAAGGGGTGGGGCTCTGTCTCCACAGCCCCCTGGGGAGTACTGGAGAGGAGAGGGTGGGGAAAAAAGTGCTGAGAAGGCTTCGAACTGGTCAGACAACTTCAGGAACCCGGGAGCTGGCGCCAAGAAAGGAGAGAAGAGGAGAGGACAGGCAGAGAGGAGAACAGACAGAGCGACCGACAGAGATTGGAAGCTGGACAGGCTGACGGATTCAGGGTTGTGGCATGAAGCTGCTGCCCAGCTGGAGAGCGATGCTGCCTGTGGGGCCTCAGGGCAGGTTCTGGTCGTGGGCACAACAATCCAGAAGTAGGTGGGCCCTGGGGGGGATGGTGGAGGAAGGGTGGGAACATGTCCTGCTCCACCAGCTGGAAAGCCTATGTTCCTCTGGCCCTCCTAACGCCCCCTCAGCTGCTCCAGGGTCCTTGGTCATGCTGGGCTGGGGCTGCCAGCAGAGGAAGACGGGCTGGGCCCAGGGTCGGCTTCACCGGCTATGTGACGTGAAGTCACACAGCACCCAGTGCTCAGGCTTAATGCTCTCAGTTTAATACTTTGCTGTCGCTTTCTTTCTTTTTTAATATTTATTTATTTATGCATACAAGACCTGGGGTGTAGGCCAGAGGTGTGGGGGTGGGGAGAAGTGAAAGGATTCACCAGAGACTGAGTGGGGAGCAGAACAGGCAGACTGACTGAAATACACTGCTGAGGGAAGCAGCGGGCGAGACAAGCGGTCTGCTGCGCCATGTGGGTAGCTCCCTGGCCTGTCGGAGGTCAAACTCCTGCTGCAGAGGCTGCATATAGCTTCACAGAGCTTTGCTTAACCCCTTGGGCCATTAGGGAGGCCCAGTGCTTTGCTGTTGTTTTCTTGAAATTTGTAATGTTTTTGGAACCGGGGACCCACGTTTTCATTTGCACTGGGTCCCCTAAATTTGCAACCAGTCCTGGTTGAGAGGGTAAGGGAATCCTCTCCTGACACAGGGGACAGGCACAGCTGTCCAGCCTGCGTAGCTCCTTCCCTAGAGGCCCATCTGTCATGTCATGTGCCTCAGGGATCCTGAGTGCGAAGAAGCAGCAGCGGTGGGTGGGGGAGTGAGGGTAGTCTATTATCACATTTAATGTATGCAGGAACTTGGAGTTCAAGAATTTTAGGTGTGGTTTTCTAAAATCTTGCTACCAGTGTGGCCCTCCCTGGCCAGATCATATCTCCTAAATCTGTCTCCTCAGCTCTAAAAGAGGTTAATACAACCTAGTGCCTGGGGTTATACACGATACATGGATGTTGCTTGGCATGTAATCGTTCCTCAGTGATGAGAGTGGTTAGGATAATGATAATAATAATGATTAACCTGTTACTAAGTGGGGAAGAGTCTCATTCAGCATGTGACATAAAAAGTGCCTATTTCTACTCTACTTCCTCTCTTCTCACCCAAGGCTTGGTAAACTTCCAAGGCTGTCCAGGTCTCATCCCCTATGTGGGCCCTCTCTTGGCAGCCAGGACAGGTCCCGTGTACTGGCTCGCGTGCCAGCAGGGTGGGGAGCACTCAGAGGTAAAGGTGGCAGAGACTTGAGTGGCCTTTACCACTATGGCCAGAGTTAATACGTTATCTCCACCCGGTCCTTTCGCAATAGGGGCTGGGGATCTGGTTACAGATTTACTTTGAACAATGTCTGATGTGCCGAGTAAAGTCCTCCTTGGCCTTTGTAAAGCTCTCCCCTTTTCTTCTCAGGAACTGCTCACACCTGTGCCCCAAAGATGAGGGCCCAGGAGGAACCCGAGGGCACAACACAGGTGCTGGGGGATGGTGGGAGCCCGGTGGGGGTAGGGTGGGGGTAGGGGCTGAAGGAGCTTCTTCCTGGGAGGGCAGAGATAAAGCTTCCGCTGAACTTGATCAAGAGTGACTGTCCCAGACTGAACTTGTAGTTGGGGGAGGGAGTGGTGTGGGAGTTGAGGTAAAGGAGACCAGCTTTGGAACTGGCTGACTCCAACTTGGGACTAGCTGGGACTCATCCTACCCTCTCCAGTGTTACCCCAAGGACCTCCAAGGGGCAGAAATGAGACTGGAGTGGGTCCAAGAGGGCCTGTCCTTTGTCCCAGTCCTCTTGGGCCCTTCTCCTAGTGTCCCCAGGTCTCTGACTTGGGGCCCACTGGCCCACTCCCTTGACTAGAATGCCTGGTCTTCATTCCTGTGGGAAGCAATGTGAGGCGGGAGCCAGGAGTAGCCAAGGAAAGGGGCAGCTGAGTGGCTGAACTGTGGGGGAAGTGGGAGGCTTCAGGCTCGGTCCCCATTCTGAGGTGTCCACGCAAAGCTGCCTGATTGATTCTGAGGCAGCATGGGCTTTGCAGTCCTCATCATTTATCATCTACCCTGAGCTACTTCTCTCTGCTGCCCCCAGAATGATTCCCCGGGCCCAGCTGAGACCTCCACGAGGGACCCCCCGATGTCCGGGCCCACAGGGCCCAAGTTTGACATGTTGTACAAGATTGAGGATGTGCCACCCTGGTACCTGTGCATCCTGCTCGGCTTCCAGGTGGGCTTCCCTTATGGGTCTCCCCACCTCTGCACACTCCCCAGGATCCCAGCCCTCTCCCTGGCCAACAGGTTATCTTGGGTAACAGGAAGAGAAACCTGAGGTAAGCAACAGTGACTGTCACCAAGCAGGGGTGAAAAAAAGCCTTCACGGGGCCTGAAAGAGGATTAACCCCCTGGGAGCATGGGACACCAGCCAGGCAGTGTTGGTGACAGGGAGGAGGGCACACTCCACAGTAGCTGCAGCACTCACTTGGGAAGCTGATTAGTAACCCCCGGAGAGGTGAGCAGTAGCTCCCTAGTTATCCCCATGGGAGTGTCAATCCTGGGTGGGTACGCTGCCAAGGCTGGCCTGGATGCAGGCCCACTGAGGCGGTCATGAGGACTGTTAGGGTATCCCTCTGAGCTCTATGGGCTCTGCCTCATGCCCTCTCCCCTACCTAGCATTACCTGACGTGCTTCAGTGGCACCATCGCTGTGCCCTTCCTCCTGGCTGAGGCGCTGTGTGTGGGTCGAGACCAGCACATGGTCAGCCAGCTCATTGGTACCATCTTCACCTGCGTGGGCATCACCACCCTCATCCAGACCACTCTGGGCATCCGGTGAGCTGCCCCACCTTCACCCTTCACCCCCAAAAAAGCAGGTAGTCTCTCTCACTGGACTCCGATGGGACAAAAAACAGTTGCTCTCTTTCCCTACCTGCTGCTCTGACTCCCAAGTCAGCCTCACAGTCAGGTATCTGGGGTCATACCCTGGGGCCCTTGATTTGGACTCCTCAAGGATGAGGAGTCTTTGGGTTTCATATATCCTGACTGGGCTGAATCCCGCTATGCCCTCCTCCCAACAAGCAGGACCTCCTCTTCCCTGCCGCTAAACCTGTGCAGCCCCCGTCGATGATCCATCCTCCAGACCCTCCCTGCCCCCATGAGCACAGCCCTAGGCCTGAGAGGCCACAGGATGGTTATAGGTGGAGTGGGGGAAGGGGGTTGTGAGAGGAGCTTGATGTAGGAACTGAGCAGTCTACCTCTGTGCATGTGGACCCTCGCAGTGCAGAAGCTGGTGCTGACAAGTTAGGGGGCAGACTGGGCCGGGGGCTCCATTTGATTTCTTCCTTTGGATCCCCCAAATATTAGAGTCCTGCCTGTAGCTTCAATGGCTTCCCTTTGCTCTGCTCCTGCCTTTGTCCCTCTGTGTCACTGTCCCTTGTGTGATTCTCTGTCCCCCTCTCCATGCCCCATTTTCCTGGTTTCCTGTCTCTGGCGGGTCCTCCTTCCTTGCCCTGCTCCCACCTTTCTCTCCTCCCCTCCAACCTCCCACTCCCCTGCCTTCCTTCCAGGCTGCCACTGTTCCAGGCCAGTGCCTTTGCATTTCTGGTCCCAGCCAAAGCCATCCTGGCTCTGGAGAGATGGAAATGTCCCCCAGAAGGTGGGCACACTTTGGGATCTGCATTGGAGAGGGAGGGTCAGGAGCCTGGAGGTCTGGGCAGCTGTTGGTGACAGGGAGTGCATTCATTCATGGCAGTGTCTTCTCTCCCCTTCTGTTGCTGTTCCTTGTTGCTATACGCGCCCCAATTCTGGCCCCAGAGGAGATCTACGGTAACTGGACCCTGCCCCTGAACACCTCTCATATCTGGCACCCACGGATAAGAGAGGTAGGTTTGCAGGTGGGGTAGACGAGACCTGGACCTGAGGAGGGGGCTAGATGGGAGTCAGGGCCTCTGCTGAGTTGGGAGATACAAGCATGTGATCCAGGAAAATTTTTTATGTAAAGGTCATGGCCTCTTAATGACATAGCTGTTTTTTGTCATTCCAGGTCCAGGGTGCAATCATAGTGTCCAGCATGGTAGAGGTGGTGATTGGGCTGACAGGGCTGCCTGGGGCCCTGCTCAGCTACATTGGGCCTCTCACAGTCACCCCCACTGTCTCCCTCATTGGCCTCTCTGTCTTCCAAGCTGCTGGTGACCGAGCTGGCTCCCACTGGGGTATTTCAGCTTGGTGAGTGGACATGGGCCTAATTCTTTCCCAGTCCCAATTCCCTTATCCCCTTCATCCCTTTATGTCCTGCCCCAGGCCGGTCTACTAGCCATCTTCTCCTTGTGTCTCTGCCCCAAGCTCCATTGTCCTGATCATCCTCTTCTCCCAGTACCTGCGCAACTTGACCTTCCTGCTGCCTGTCTACCGATGGGGCAAAGGCTTCACTTTCTTCCGCATCCAGATCTTCAAGATGTTTCCTGTGAGGAGCTGACAGGCAACTAAGGCTGGGACCAGGCCAGGGGTTGGATCTGTGTCCAGGGTCAAGGGGATGGGGGCAAGGGCTGGGACGGCAGGGACTTAGAGCCAGAGCAGAGAGGCGGTCCCAGCCAGGGATTGGAGCAGGTGTTCAGGCGTGGTTTGTGTTAGGGCAAAGGCAAAGGCTGGGGTCTAGGGCTGAGGTTGGGCCTGGAGTGAGACTCCAATGCCCTCAAGTGCACCTCTCACCCACCCCACTTTAGATTGTGCTGGCTATCATGACCATGTGGTTGCTCTGCTACATCCTGACCCTCACGAATGTGCTGCCTGCAGATCCCACAGCCTACGGCTTCCAGGCACGAACAGATGCCCGAGGGGACATCATGGCTATATCGCCCTGGATCCGCATCCCCTACCCCTGTGAGTAACCCCACAGGAGGGGGGTGAGGGGAGGCCCTCTGCCTCTCACTGAGACCATCTATGAGGCCACTGATGACCCCGATCCAGTTGATGATGTAACTAGAATTAGCTGCACATTTATAGTGTGCCAGTCACTGTGGTATTTTACTCAGGTAAAGCCTCACTCGAACTTCATGAGTCTGAGTGATCCCAAATAAGCTCCTATACAGATCAAATAAGATCACAGTACAGAGATCCCTTTACCTGCCTCTCCCCCCAAGTCCCCATCTAAGTACTGCCTTATCCACTCTGGACCCACTAAAGGGCACCACATCCATCCTCCTGTCTCCCTGGACCTAGGTCAGTGGGGCCTGCCCACAGTGACTGCAGCTGCTGTTTTGGGAATGTTCAGTGCCACATTAGCGGGCATCATCGAATCCATTGGAGATTACTATGCTTGTGCCCGCCTGGCTGGTGCACCACCCCCTCCAGTACATGCTATCAACAGGTATGCAAAGATCTGAATCCCAGAGGTGTGGATGTGGGCAAGGAATTAATACTCTCTGTATCTGGGACTCCCTGGGGGCCTAAGGGCTAAGTGTCAATGCTTTCACCATTATGGCCTGAGTTCGATCCCCAGACAGGAAGCTAACCCACTTATGGCATAGAAGACCCCTCCTGTCTTGCCTGCTGCTCCCCTTAGCAGTGTATTTCAGTAAAATCTGCTTGTTCTGCTCCGCACCCTGTCTCTGGTGAATCCTCTCACCCCCAGCACCTCTGGCCTTCACCCCAGTTCCTCTATGCGCGCACACACACACACACACACACACAAACCCCCACACAATACTCTCCAGACCTCATTCTCCTTAAGAAATCTGGAAGCACTCATCACTCTATCTGCATGTTGTCAGTAGTTGAGGGGATAATGAAGTCTTAGGGGAACCATAGTCACTCAACATTCAGGGTCCCTAGTCTTCCATGTGCATTCTCTTAAAACAGTTTGCTAACAATCCTGTGAGACAAGCATCCTTATTGTCCCCAGCTTACTTATGAGGAAATTTAATCCTAAAGGAGTAAGTGCCAGGGCCCTGGGACTGATGCTCTGGTCTGGACTCCTGATTTCCAGGCCTACTCTGGCCTGAAGCTGGGAGTACTACCAACGGAGAGTTGCAGCTCGCAGTCTCCAGAAGGCTAGCAGCTAGGCCAGGAGGATAAGAGGACACTTGCTGGGGCACAGGCTGGATCACAAACCCCTCTCACCCTTTCCTTACAGGGGTATCTTTACCGAAGGCATCTGCTGCATTATCGCAGGGCTGTTCGGCACGGGCAACGGGTCCACATCGTCCAGCCCCAACATTGGCGTCCTGGGGATTACCAAGGTGCCAAGTCGAGCGCAGGAGCAGCACGAAGTCCCCTCCCATTCCCTGACCCAAGTCCATCCCAACTTTGGTCCCACCCTTAAGCCCAGGCCCAAGTGTGTGCCTTGCTCTTATTGCAGACCCCGCCCACTGGCCCCGCCCGGCCCCGCCCCGCCCCCGCCCCCGCCGGCCTCGCCACCCAGGCCCCACCCCGCCCCCCGGCCCCGCCCCGGCCCCGCCCCGCCCCGGCCCCGGCCCCGCCCCGACCCCCAGCCCCGACCCCCAGCCCCGACCCCCAGCCCCGCCGCGCCCCGAAGCTAACCGCGACCCAGCCACACCCCCTGGTTCCCCGGCAGGTGGGCAGCCGGCGTGTGGTGCAGTACGGTGCCGGCATCATGCTGATCCTGGGCACCATTGGCAAGTTCACAGCCCTCTTCGCCTCGCTGCCTGACCCCATATTGGGGGGAATGTTCTGTACTCTGTTTGGTGAGTACCACCGCGAGGGCCCCAGGGCGCCGAGGGGTAGAGCCCATCCCGCCCCTACCGCGCCTCCATCTGTTCTTCTGCGCCCTCAGGCATGATTACGGCGGTGGGACTGTCCAACCTGCAGTTCGTGGACATGAACTCCTCCCGCAACCTTTTTGTGCTGGGATTTTCTATGTTTTTCGGGCTCACGCTCCCCAATTACCTGGAGTCCAACCGCGGAGCCATCAACACAGGTGCCACCCCTTGTCTACGTTGGGGGGGGGCAGGGGAGGGGGGGAGAGGAGAGAGGTGTGGTGGGCTCCGACTCTGAGCACAGCCCCTTCCTCTAAGACTTCACACGGCTGGAGCCAGAAATTCTGCCCAACTCCGTATGTTAATCAGCAGTCAAGAAACTAATAAGCAGCTGTCCTTTATTAAGATACTTTCTGTGCACTGGTGCTGAGTTCTGCATGTGCTCATTTAATTTTCACAAGAGCTCCACGAGATAGCTATTATCTCATCTCCCTGTTACAGATGAGGAAAGTGAGGTGACAAGGCCCTGGTAGCAACTGGCAAAACTGGAATTTCAATCCAGGGATGGGAGAGGCAGAGATGCAGATAGGGTTGAAAGTCAGTGTTTTACACCCTTCCATCACCACCCTGGCTCAAGGAAGTCTGCAGCCTGCACTAGTTGGGAGAAAAGACCCTGCGTTCTGCTTTGCAGATCTGGCCTTGACACCCATTGCCCCTTGGCCTATTCCACAGGCATTCCTGAAATAGACCAGATTCTAACTGTGCTGCTGACTACGGAGATGTTCGTGGGTGGATGCCTGGCTTTCCTATTGGACAACACAGTGCCTGGTATGGATCAGCTCTGGGAGTGGCACATACAATTGGGCTGGACTGATATACAGGCCAACAGATGGCCCCTGAGCTGGAGCCGTGGCCAGGCCTGATGATGCCATGCAGGTCCTGCAGGGAGAAGCAGGAACAGGTGGGCTGGCGGAGTGCCTGCTGGCTGAAGGGAGAGACCACTTGGCTTAGACAAACATTACAGGTCTTGAGAGGGTGGCCCTACGAGTTATTCAGGGCTCTTTGCATTGTTTACTTTCCATCCCTTTTTCTTTTTTGAATGTTTTTTTTTTTCTTAATTCCTCTCCATTTCTTTATGCTACCAGGGTTGAGAAGTGCCTTTACTTTCTTAGGACAGATACAAATGCAGCATCGTTGTTTGCAAAACCCACTCCAAATATGCCAGCAGCCTGTCATGTTAGCTACGAGAAGAGCCTTTATGATATCAGGGTTTTTGCAGAGATCATGGAGGATACTTGCTGGGTTTTCTGAAAACCTGCCTGGCCTGTTTATGTGCCCACTAAATACATACACATTAAATGTCACTAGGTACTCTGATATTTACTGTTTACTACATATGGGTCAGGTTTGGAGCTAAGTGTCTCATTTGAGCTTCAAAAATTGTCCTGTGAGGTTGAGACTATAGACATAATTTTAAATGAGGAAACAGAATCAGGGAGGTGACTCACCAAAGCTCAGTTTGGAGACTTAAAATGTTGCAAATCTGGGATTTTAACAAAGTTCATCTGATGTAGTCCATGTCCTGTGTCCCAGCACTGCACCACATTGCCTCTGCTAGAGGGCTTCAGGGGAACTGGAAGATCAAGGAAAGCTGGGGAAACCGTGTATGTGGGGGGGAGAAGGGAATTTACAGACTATCAGTGCAGGGAGTTGAAGGATGGGAGTAGCCAAGTGACCCTCCTTTCCCACCACTTACCAGCCTGAACGCAGGTGCAATTTCACTTGCTTCTCTCTGTCCGAAGAGGCAAATATCTATTCAGAGTGCAAGAGTCAAGCTGACTGCACAGCTGGTGGGTTGGAGTGTGGGTAGGGAAGGGCCTGGCTCCCTGGCAATTTTAGGAATTTAACAGCATCGATGAGAGGGCTCTTGGTGGCAGATGCCCCATGGATGATGGGTGGATACTTAATTGTGATACCTATTCCTCCCCATTTAGAGGAGACTGGGGTGTATGCTGGAATAGCCCACTCTGTGAACCTGAGACAAGTGGCAGCCTCAATGCTTAAGAAAACTGGGGGCATAGAGGGCATCTGGGCGGGAAGCTAAGGCTTAAGATTTGAGTAACTGGATTAAGGTACCAGATGTTAAGTCTCAGAGCAGCCTCTCTTGTGTTCCTCACATCCCTATCCTTCAACCCCACTGCATGTCAGCAACACCTTTGCCAGAAATCATAACATGTGTTATGCCACATAATCTTCAACACTCCTTTTATGAGCACCGATGAGGAATCTGAAGATTGGAAATGGTAGAATCACTTCCCCAAAGCCATACAATCTGGATTCAAACCTAGGTGTAGGGCCTGCCTCATGGCCCATGGGGTTAAGACACAACTTATAAAGCTATCCACAGCCACTGCAGCACAAGTTTGATCCCTGGCCAGGGAGCGGCCCACATGGCGCAGCAGACCTCTCCTGACTAGCCCACTGCTACCGCTGCTCTCCTCAGCAGTGTATTTCCGTTGATCTGCCTGTTCTGTTCCCCACTCTGTCTCTGGTGAATCCTCTCACCCACCACACCTCTGGCCTGTACCCCAGTTCTTGTATGCATGAATATTTAAAAACAAACAAACAAACAAAAAACAAACCTAGGTAGATGGCAGAACAGTTGTTAGCCATGGAATTGCACAGCTTGCTTCTGTGTGATGATCACACTTCACTGATGGGCCACTTCTTATCTGCTCCATCTCTTTACCTATTCACTGTCCAACCTTAGGGGGCAATCAATTTAGTCCAGCAACTACTAAGAGAACTTTACCTTGGGTTAGACACTGAAAAGAATGCAAGGGAAAAAAAAACCAAAAAGCTTAAGTCCCATGTTTGTTTTTTTTTTTTTTTTTTTTTTTTTTTTAAATAGAGGCATGTTTATTTATTTATTTATTTGTTTGTTTGTACATGCACTGGGTACAGTCAGAAGCGCGGGAGGGTGAGAGAATTCACCAGAGCCAGAGCGGGGAGCAGAGCAGGCAGAAGGACCGAAGTACACTGCTGAGGGGAGCAGCGGGCGGCAGGAGAGGTCTGCGCGCCATGCGGGACCCTCCTCCAGTGGCTGGGGAGCAGCCGGGGATCGAACCGGCGCCGCAGAGGCCGCGGGCAGCTTCGCAACCCAGCGCTCAACCACTGCGCCACCGGGGAGGCCCCCCATGTTTGTTTTGAGGGAGCTCCTAGCACAAGATAGGACTTAAAACTGGGCTGAGAGCAGTGTAGAACAGTACAGTCAATAAGCCTGGTCTGGAGTCATCTGGAGGGCTTGCTTGATGAAATTGGATGGGGCTAGAAACTGGAAGCATAGGACGCTCTGTTGTGTGTGGGTGGTGGTGGGTGGATAGACATCACAGTCCTGTCCACAGACGGCTTTTCCCCTCTACTCTGGCCACCTTTCCTTTCTACTCTGCTAAAATAGTACCTTCCCCCAGAAGCCTAGACCTACCCTCTGAGATTTCAGGACAAATTTGGTTTTACTGTGGGAATATTGTGAGTTACAAGATAAATGCATTGTGGTCATTCAGATGACCAATATCTGTATTTTTCACGTATTTTATCTTCATCCATGGTTCCTCATAGTTCCCAAACTCCTTGTAATGTCCTAAGTGTTGAGAGTGATGAAGTTGTCTCTTATTAAGTCATCAAGGTGACTTATGAGCAAATACTTAAGGATGGGGACTCGTTGCCAGGGGAAACCACATGATTATAGAGGGTTGGAATTTCTACCCTGACCTCCTAGGATGGAAGAGGGGCTAGAGTTTGAGTTCAACTGCCAATGGCCAATGAGTTAATGAAACCTACATATGTAATAAAGTCTTCATGAAAGCCCAAAAGGCGGGGCTCGTAAGAGCTTCTGGGTTAGTGAACACATGGAGACTTAGGGAGAATGGTGCCCCTGGAGAGGGCATGGAAAGCATCCTTTCCCCACATTTACCTCTCCATCTCTTTCATTTGGCTGTTCCCTTCTATGATACCCTTTGTAATCAATGGGTACTTTTTTTTTTTTTAAGATTTATTTATTTATGCATACAAGAGCTGGGGTACAGCCCAGAGATGTGGGGGGTGAGAGGATTCACCAGAGACATAGTGGGGAACAGAACAGGCAGATTGACGGAAATACACTGCTGAGGGGAGCAGCGGGAGAGACAGGAGAGGTCTGCTGTGCCATGTGGGTTTCTCTCTGGCCGGGGTCGAACTCATGCCACAGAGGCTGTAGATTGCTTCATAGTGCGGTACTTAACCCCTTGCGCCACCAGGGAGGCCCTCAATGGGTACTTTTGAGTACATGGGTTTTACGAGTTCTGCGACATGCTCTAGAAGTTACTAGAACTTGAGTGTCCTGAGCACATATAGAAGTCTGGGGCTTGGCCTCCCGGGTGGCGCAGTGAGTTCAGCACAGCGCTGTGAAGCTGTCCGCAGCCTCTGCAGCGCGGGTTCGATTCCCAGCTGGCCAGGGAGATACCCACATGGTGCGGTGGACCTCTCCTGTCTTGCCCACTGATCCCCTCAGCAGTGTTTTCAGTCATCTGCCTGTTCTGCTCCCAGCTCTGTCTGTGTTGAATCTTTTCACACTCCCGCGCCTCTGGCCTGTACTCCAGCTCTTGTATAAATAGATAAATCTTAAAAAAAAAAAAAAAAAAAAAAAAGCCTGGGGCTTGCCAAGGGAGTCTGAAATGGGGGATGGTTTTGGGATACTGAGCCTTTTACCTGTGGGATCTGATGCTATCTTGAGGTAGTAGTGTCATAATCGAGCAGAATAATCTGTTGGTCTAAGGATGCCTACCCAAACCCCTGTTGCAAATCCGTTTTGGGGATACCCTGTATAACTGTATGGTATTCTCGGACTGGGTTGCCAGCATCTGGAAATCTCTCTTTTCACTGGATTTAGTCAGTCTTTGTCGACCCCAGTTCTCGTGAAAACCTCACAGCTCCCCCAAAACTAAGGGAGAAATTCCCTCATTTAAAAAAAATCTCTCTTATATACCCCTACCAAACCATCAACTATTAAGAATTTACCTAGCTTGACTTTCTAAGGCTCGTATTATTTGCTAAGTATGGAATGATCATACTGAATATTGATACTGCGTGTGATCTTAGCCAAAAGGCCGAAAAGCAATTGAATATTGATACTGATTACAGTATTTTGAAACATACCTCCCTGCCCCCTAGAAGAGTCTGGGCACTACACACACTAGGCTCCATACTCAATGATGGTGGTTGACAATTCCCTGTTTCATTATAAAATCTTGTATAATAGTGCCTATATTCCTACCACACAGGTAATCTTTTATTTATTTATTTATTTATTTATTTATTTAAAGAGGCATGTATTTTTATTTATTTATTTGTTTGTTTGTTTGTACATGCACTGGGTACAGTCAGAAGCGCGGGAGGGTGAGAGAATTCACCAGAGCCAGAGTGGGGAGCAGAGCAGGCAGAAGGACCGAAGTACACTGCTGAGGGGAGCAGCGGGTGGCAGGAGAGGTCTGCGCGCCATGTGGGACCCTCCTCCGGTGGCCGGGGAGCAGCCGGGGATCGAACCGTCGCTGCAGAGGCTGCGGGCAGCTTTGCAACCCAGCGCTCAACCGCTGCGCCACCGGGGAGGCCCCACACATGTAATCTTAAAGGAATGAGATAGTTAAATTAAAACATTTAGCACAGAGCTCGGCACACTATATATACACAATAAATATTAATTATACCCCATATCTAGGGAAACTTTTAGTTTCCCTTCTAGGGAAACTTCCCTAGAACTCTGAGCAAGGTAAATCATGTATTTAACAACTTTTAGAATGATAAAAAATCTGAGAATTGACACTCTATTTCAGAAACCTGCCTCAGGTCTAGGCTCTGGAAAGGGGAAATACATGAGAGAGGATGGTTGTCTCTGGTAAATGACCTCTTCCATTATCCACTTCTAGGGAGCCCAGAGGAACGAGGGCTGATACAGTGGAAAGCTGGAGCCCATGCCAACAGCGAGACATCTGCCAGTCTCAAGAGCTATGATTTCCCCTTCGGGATGAGCAGGATAAAGAGGATTGCCTTTCTGAAATACATTCCTATCTGCCCAGTCTTCAAAGGATTTTCTTCAAAGTCAAAAGACCAAATTCCAGTTCCAGAAGATACTTTAGAAAATACAGAAAGTGGGCCTGTGTCAACAAAGGTCTGAAGTATCACTCCCAGTAAAGGTAAGACATAACTTAGTCGATGGTTTTTGTGGGAGGATTTGAAAAAAATCACAAAATTCTTACTCTTTAAGAAACTACTCAATTTCCATTTTTGTGACCTATTTGAGTGTCATTCAGGAGAAGGTAGGCTGGGTCAAAAGTCAATACATGGCTTTTGGGTGGAACTCCTTAGCCATTTTATAGTGACAATGGAACTTCCCAAAGGTGTGTCACAAAGAGGATACAAATAGTTTAAAATTAATTGATGTCCTCAATCTTCTGGGTATTTGGGCAGAAACGGGTCAACCAGAGCCCATGAGCCACAGCCAGCCTCATCCCTGCACTCCAGTATACTGTTATCACCTGATGGAAAAGGTTGAGAAATAATGACAGCACAAGAACAGGGAAAAAACCTCTCATATAAACTGCCTTATAAACAGTGGTCATAAAATAAGAAATGTATGAAACAGGATGACTTCAGTTATGCTAAGGCATGCCCTGATGGTGTGATAATTTTTTTCCAAGGGCCTCAAAATCAAAAAGCTGATACTACAACTTCCCATTATTAGGTGGTCTGGCTCTCTAGTTTATCTTCAAATTGACTTAATGTGTATGTTCCCTCACACAAACATTCTTACAAAATGAGAGCTTAATGTGAAGACTCCCTAATAATAATAGCAGTCATAGGCCTCCCTGGTGGCGCAAGGGGTTAAGATGTAATCTATGAAGCTGTCCGCAGCCACTGCAGCACGAGTTCGATCCCTGGCCAGGGAGCTACCCACATGGCACGGCAGACCTCTCCTGACTCACCCACTGCTCCCCTCAGCAGTGTATTTCAGTCAGTCTGCCTGTTCTGTTCCCCACAGTTTCTGGTGAATCCTCTCACCCTCCTGCACCTCTGGCCTGTACCCCAGTTCTTGTATGCATAAATCAATCAATCTTGACAGCCTACAAGAACGTAATGACGAAAGACGCGCTCTCTTTGCCGCATCTACTGCGAGAATGAAGACCATTCTCAGCAATCAGACTGTCGACATTCCAGAAAATGTTGACACATCCCTGAAGGGTCGCACTGTTATTGTGAAGGGCCCCAGAGGCACCCTGCGGAGGGACTTCAATCACATCAATGTCAACTCAGTTTGCTTGGGAAGAAAAAGAAGGGGCTCCGGGTTGACAAATGGTGGGGAAATAGAAAGGAACTGGCTACTGTTCGCACTATCTGTAGTCATGTACAGAACATGATCAAGGGTGTTACACTGGGCTTCCGTTATAAGTTGAGGTCTGTGTATGCTCACTTCCCTATCAACGTTGTTATTCAGGAGAATGGGTCTCTTGTTAAAATCCAAAATTTCTTGGGCGAAAAATACATTTGCAGGGTTCAGATAAGACAAGGTGTTGCTTGTTCAGTATCTCAAGTCCAGAAAGATGAGTTGACTCTTGAAGGAAACGACATTGAACTTGTATCAAATTCAGCTGCTTTGATTCAGCAAGCCACGACATTAAAAACAAGGATATCAGGAAATTTTTGGATGGTATCTATGTTTCTGAAAAAGGAACTGTTCAGCATGCTGATGAATAAGATTTAAGTTGTCCAGCTACAGAGCAGCAAGATAATGGATGATTTCTTAGATCTATTTGTGATACATCTTTAAGATGCAATAATAAAAGTCGTCATTGATTTGGGCAAAAAAAAAAAAAAAATCAATCTTAAAAAAAATAATAGCGGTCACTTAAAACTTTCTATGTGCCAAGGACTGTCAGAAGTGCTTCAGGTATGTCAACTAAGGACAATTCTGAGCTAGATTCTGTTATCATTACCATTTTAAAGAGGTAGAAACTAAGACACAGAAAGGTTAAGTAACTTGCCTATGATCACTGGCTTCATATCCAGAAAATCTGTAGCCCTTAGTCCTTAGGCTACTTCACCTCTCTAAGTCAAGTTTATTATCTCCAATTATAATAACTTGGCAGTTTGTTGAAATTAACTTACCTGTGTCCCCCCATCTTTTCTCTCTGAGAAAAGATCTTTAAGTCTCAATTATTTGGCAGCCTGCTGTATCACTTATGGTACTGAGCCATTAGGGTACAGGAAGGACTGCACCAAGCAGGATCATCTTTGCTTCATAGCTCCTTAAAGAAACTACCTATTTATTGGATTATTAAGGTGGCTATTAAAAAACATAGGAGCATACTGCTCACACCAAAGGATCCTTCTAAGGCTAATGGGAGCCAGAACTGACACCATTACCTTCTTAATCTCCTTGAGCCAAGCTCAAGAAAAGCACAAAGGACATTGTCAACAACTGAGTACGGATATGTGGGAGTATTATATGCCAGTTCTAGTGGCACCTGGAATCATAAAACTGCTAATTGCTAGGTTGACAGGCCATTCAAAATAAATACTAGCCAGAAACTTATTACAAATAAGATCGTTAGGGGAAAAATGGCTAAAGGTTCAGGTAAATAGCAAACCAGCCCAATCAAGATTGCAAAGGGCTTGTGAAAAATACAAGTCAGTGGTGATCAGAGTAAGGTTACCACTATACTGGTCAAATTTTCTTGACATGTTTAGCTATGGGGTTTATCACTGTATTTTGGACAGATACTGACATAACATTATTTGATAGTACAGAATGTAATAAAGCCTGCTGTCCCATCTTGAGGTACTCAGTCCACATTAAAGTGAGTATCATCAACGGAGAATCTGCATTCCAGCACCAAAAAACACAACCATCAGCTCAGTTCTACTATTATTTATTTTTTTAAATATTTTTGAAAAAATATAATTTTTTTACAATATTTTCAACTTAAACACTATTCACACTGAACACGTATGGCAGCTTAACCTACCCAGATATGAAGTTTAAGAAGCCAAAACTGTTCTAGCTTTGTTAAAAGAAAAGTTGTGCTGCAGACTATTGTAGTGATGGTTAACAAAGCAAGGAAAAGCACCACTCAAATTACTGATTACAATTTCTTTGTTCAATTGAATTGTGGGTTGGTCAAATGTTGGACTTAACACTGGCATAGCTACAATGCAATGACTCCTTCGAAGATGCAGTTCTCACATCACATACTTCCTCATACATAACATTAGGAAAGGAATCCAGTATTTCTTACATGATAACATATCATACAAATCAAGACTAATTTTCATGTGACCAATATCTTATAACCTCAGTAACCAAAGACATACTTGAATATACTGAATTATTTCAACTGAACAAACCATCTTCAGAAAAAGATTATTTTTGATGGGGCAAATGCAAATTTAAGTCTGAACTGAGAACTCTGCTTAACAATCAGAACTTAATTTAAATTTACTTATTAAAAAAATGTTTAGACATTAACAAGTATTAGTTATCCATAAGGGTCTAGTAGTTAAGCCTCAACAAAATAAAAAAGACAATTCACTAAGATTTAGAGGTCATTTAATTTCATGCTTTGTCACAACTTGACTGGTGCTTCTTTCCTCGCTGTCTTCACATCAAGCCATGGGGCCAATTCTATGTTCAGTAAATGTTTGACAGTTTTTTACTTAATAACAGTCTCAGCACTTTTATTAAGCATGCAAGACTAACAAAACTTTGGCAATGCATAAGTGTAACACAGTGACAAGAGAGAGCTTTTACAATTAAGTCTTCTAATACTGCCTTCACAGTGTGGAAATTGTGCTACATCCACCAAAAGAGGGCCCCGTCTACTCAAACATTTTAGTACTTCACCCCAGGAACAAACTCCTTTGCATTTGGATTCAGATTGCTCTTGACCTGGAAAATAAGTACATAAAAAAGCAAGTTCATTAACAGATGGCTTCAGATACTCAGAAGCATTCAACCCAGATCCACATGCAAAAATACCTTCCAAGAAATATAAGACAAAAGCAGGAACTCAGATTGCAAGTTGAAACACCACCCCCTACCCCCTCGGCCCCCAATCTATGGCAGGGAAAGGAGGAACCAGATGTAAGCTATATATATTATATCAATTTTTATCAATTTTCTGAAGAGAAAGTAGGAACTGAAATTAAATTTGCTTATGTGTAACCAGAAACCCAGGAACTTCACCTAAACTGAAAAGAATGTCACAAACAAAGAATTCTGTTAATTTAACTATGGCATCTGACTTTCTTTAAACAGCTTCATATTACAAAAAAATGTAAATTCTGAAATGATGATTAAAGTGGGGAATTGCTCATGGATTTTCACTTTATGATCCCTGCTGAAAATGAGTTGTCTTTTTACAAATGCTGTATTCTAATTCCCACAGGAAGGATCGCATATAACAGGAAAAGAAAACTACATGGGAAGTCAGAAGAACTAAGATGGAATCCCAGTTCTGGCCCTAACGAAGCTTCCTATGTAAGCCTGGATATGTCAATCTGGGACTCCATTTTTGCATCAAAAAGATGGGGAATAATGGGCCAATGTCTCTTAAGTGTGTTAGAGTTTTGTGCAAACATTATTCTACATATCTAAATCTTTACTTCCTAAGTTGTGTCTGCATTTAGGGTAGCTGGAATTTTTCCTCTACTACATCTTGGAATATAAGTTGATAAAGATGAAAAGAAATCATGATGGAGTCTAAGACCTAAAATGTAGGAATGCTGGGAGGCTTTTAGATTAATCTGACTCCGCCTCTTCCCCCTTTCAGTCACTTCAAGACCAAACCACATTAAAACAACATTTTGGAGCAATAAATTTAATCTTAGTTTCCTAATTTATACAGAGCCATTCCCTTGTACAGAACACATTCTCCCTCCTCAAAAGGAAAATATATCTAAACTTTAAAGATGATGGTGAAATACAAGAACAGTCTTCTTTAATACGTAATCGTTTGGTGCTACCAAAGAATGAGAAGGAATTCAAGTAACTCAAACAGATCTAATTGAACAAACCAGTTCTATACAATGGAATTACACTGGGATCAGATTAAAGTTATAAATTATGTCCAGCAAAAGCTTTCTTCAGCAGGGCAAACCGGATTACTTGTGCAATGACTAACATAGAGCAAACATATATCCCAACGACTCTTTAGATCACACATCTATCAATTGGGTTACTGTCCTTTAGAGTAACAAAGGCAATATACTACAATGTAACCTTCAGAGAAAAATGGTTTCCAAATGTCTGATAGGGCAGGCAGGCTGCCTGTATAACTGGGAGTGCTTTTAAAAATTAACATTGACTCTGCAGGTCTGGGACTAAAGAACTTATTTTTGTTTTTAATGCTTCATGGATAACTATGATATAAAGTCAGATCAGGAAGCCACTGCACAATGAACAGAAGATGAGCACAAAATATTCTTCAGTGTGGTGGGCAAATAATGGGTAAATTCCAGATTAACTATCTTGTAGAAGATATATATAACTATAACACAGATTATAAATATGGACAGAAAGGTTAACATTCAAACTTTAAATTATTTTATCTTAATTTTACTAAAGGATTCATCAGGTTCTGTTCTAGTACTTAAGTTTGCTTATCACAATTTCTTAAAAAACATTATGAAACACTCTCAGCAATTACACATTAAGAATAAGTAAAAATGCAAATGGATTGGTGTTCCTTTTCTGCCAAGAAAAAAATTCTGTGTGGGCCTCCCTGGTGGTGCAGGGGTTAATTAAAGACAGCTCTATCAAGTTATTGCCAGCCACTGCCAGCCAGGGAGCAACCCAGATGGCGCAGCAGACCACTCCAGTCTCACCCGCTTCTTCACTCAGCAGTGTATTTCAGTAGCTCTGCCCGTTCTGCTCCCCACTGTCTCCTCTCACCTCCCCCCCACCGCCCTGCACCTCTGGCTTACACCTTAGCCAGAGGTGTAAATAAATCTTTAAAAAAATAATAAATCTTTAAAAAAAATTCTTGTAAAAACCCTTATTAGGGGCCCTCCCTGGAGGCACAAGGGGTTAACCATAGCACTGTGAAACTATCTGTAGCCTCTGCCTGCAGGGAACTACCAACATGGCGCAGCAGATCTCGCTCTCCATTCTCGCCCGCTGCTCCCCTCAGCAGTGTATTTCAGTCAGTCTGCCTGTTCTGTTCCCCGCTCTGTCTCTGGTGAATCCTCTCACCCCCTGCACCTCTGGCCTATACCCCAGTTCCAACCTTTATTAAATCACAATTCTAAAGAGAGTTAAAGGTAACGCAAAAAAGATCATGGGCCAATGGAAAAAAAACCACAGCAGAACTCCAAAATTTTAACTTTCAGGTAAAATTTGCGAAATTTTACCAAACATTTAAGACAAAATTAAAGAGCAATCTTCAAGTTACTGTCATATAAGCAAGTCACATGGACATACTGTGTATTTTTGGATTACTGCTTTAAGACATTGAAGTATTTTAGGGCAACAGAGTTACCAAAAGTAAAAGTAGTGTCAAGAGGTCTATCACTGGTCTCAGACTAGCTCCAGAGTGTTGCCAAATGTCACTCCATGTCCTAAGTGAGACTGGGAGGTCTCTGCTTTTGATAGTAAGAAACAGCACAAAGGGAAGAGATGTAGAACTCTTCTTAAATAGATGGATGGTGGATTTTCCACTTACGAAAGATGAATTAGGATTTAAAAAGATGAAAAATAACTTTTTACCACAAGATCTTCCAGAGAAGAGCCGTCACTGATAACAAGGTCATTAAATTGGTCTTGGATTTGGTCCATAGTTTGTGGGAGATCTCGAGCTGGAATAAACCACTCATGTTCTTCTTCTTCTTCCAGCATTTCTTGGAAACAGCGTTCAATAAATTCTTCTTCCCATAACTCCTCTTCTATCTAGATTTATAACAAAGGTTAATTTATAGCACACTTGGTGAGATATCACTAGGAATGGCTTAAAATATCCTGAACTAAGCCATTTAAAAACAATGTCTTGGGCCTCCCCGGTGGTGCAGCGGTTGGGCGCTGGGTTGCGAAGCTGCCCGCGGCCTCTGCAGCGCCGGTTCGATCCCCGGCTGCTCCCCGGCCACCGGAGGAGGGTCCCACATGGCGCGCAGACCTCTCCTGCCGCCCACTGCTCCCCTCAGCAGTGTACTTCGGTCCTTCTGCCTGCTCTGCTCCCCGCTCTGGCTCTGGTGAATTCTCTCACCCTCCCGCACTTCTGACTGTACCCAGTGCATGTATAAACAAAACAAAAAACAAACAAGCAAACAAACAAATAAAGAAAAACATGCCTCAAAAAAAAAAAAAAAAAAAAAACAAAAAAAAAACAATGTCTTAATTCCTGCTCTGCTTCTGTGCTAAAGGAAAAAAATGTTTACCTTAAGACCTGGCATGATCTGTGTAGGGTTTTGCCATGTCTTTCCATAACAGAATATTCTTTTTTCCATTGGGGTGGAATGCTCTCATTGAGGAATATGTATCAGAATTAACTGTGTTACTTAAAGAAAAAACATACAAATCCTAGCCTTACTTAAAATTGACTGAGAGTATTTTTAAAGGTTAGGGTTTAAAGGTATGGTTTATTTAAAAAAAAAAAAAAAAAAAAAAAAAAAAACTCACAAAAACAACCCAGCTCATTCTCACTGAAACAAGACTATGTCTTATTTCAATAAGCCATCACTGGACATGGAAAAATCAAGATGGCTAATGATTTAAGTTTGGGGACTAACTAGATGGAAGACAGGAACGGATGCCAGAAATATGGAAAGAAAAGACAACATTTATCAGTATATGGGAGCCTGCAAAAGAAAGAGTGTCAGATTGATCAGACAGAAAATCCAGGCACAGACAAAAACAGCGACATTTGCACCCTGGTTCTTCTAACCTGTCTGTTCCCAACTACTGCATTCTCTTGACTTTCACTACAATAGAGCAATCTGATTGGTATAAGGCTAAATTCTCAATGGAACCATATGGGAGCTTTAAAGAAACAAGTTTTGGGCTTCCCTGGTGGTGCAAGGGGTTAAGCACTGCACTATGAAGCAATCCATGGCCCCTGCAGCATGAGTTCGATCCCCAGCCAGCCAGGGAGAAACCCACATGGTGAAGCAGACCTCTCCCGACTCTCCCGCTGCTCTCCTCAGCAGTGTACTTTGGTTAATCTGCCTGTTCTGTTCCCCACTCTGTCCTGGTGAATTCTCTCACCCCCATACCTCTGGCCTGTACCCCAGCTCTTGTATGCATAATAAATGAATCTTAAAAGAAAAAAAAAAGAATGAATGAAAAAAAGAATAAATAAATCTTAAAAGAAAAAAAGACCCTCCCTTGGTGGCGCAGCAATTGAGCGCTGGGCTGCAAGACTGCCTGCAGCCTCTGCAGCGCCGGTTTGATCCCTGGCCACTGGGGAGAGTCCCACATGGTACGACACACCTCTCCTGCCGCTCCCACTGCTCCTCTCAGCAGTGTCCTCCATCTGACTGCCTGTTCTCCTCCCTGCTCTGGCTCTGGTGAATTCTCTCACCCTCCCACACTTCTGACTGTTCCCAGTGCTTGTATAGATAAATGGATAAATCTTTAAAAAAAAAAAAAAAAAAAAGACACAGCCTATGAAGCTGTCCACAGCCACTGCAGCACCAGTTCGATCCCCGGCCAGGGAGCTACCCACATGGCACAGCAGACCTCTCCTGACTCGCCCACTGCTCCCCTCAGCAGTGTATTTCAGTAGATCCACCTGTTCTGCTCCCCACTGTCTCTGGTGAATCCTCTCACACACCCACATTTCTGGCCTGTACCCCAGTTCTTGTATGCATAAATAAATCTAAAAAAAAAAAAAAGAAAAGAAAAAAAAGAAACAAGTTTCCCAGGCTACACCCCAGTTCTCCTGAATCAGAATCTGGGGTGGGGAAAAAACTTCCAAAGTTATTTCAATGAGCAACTAAACCCACTAATAATCAACATCCAAACAAAAAAGGAGTAGTGGCAAATAAATCCATGTATTTCATATGAGATCAGATAACATATTTCAATGACAAGTACAATTATTCATCAAGTATGAAAAAGCATGTTTATAAAAAGAAAACTAACTTGTCTGTTGAATTCCTCTTCATTTTCCATCCACATGTACTCTGCAAATGGATTGTCATCTTCATGAGAATGACCATTCATAATCACATCTTCATTGATGATACTTGGGCTAGTACTGCTGCGACTTGGATCTTTCATGGTTGGCGTTAGTTGTCGTTTTTAACCTTAAAAAAAAAATAGTGAACTTAGTCATACTGTTAACTTTTAGTGACCATATATTACCTCACAGGTAGGTGTTAAAATCACATAATAAAGAGAGCAATTGGATAGAGCTTCAGTTTTCTTTTTTTTTTTTTTAAAGATTTATCCATTTTTATACAAGAATTGGGGTACAGGCCAGAGATGCGGGGGGGGGGGGGGGGGATGAGAGGATTCACCAGAGACAGAGCAGGGAACAGAACAGGCAGGCAGACGGACTGAAGTACACTGCTGAGAGGAGCAGTGGGTGAGACAGGAGAGGTCCGTCCCGCCATGTGGGTTTCTCCCTGGCCAGCCAGGAATCGAACCCGTGCTGTAGTGGCTGCAGATTGCTTCACAGGTTGCATCTTAACCCCTACGCCACCAGGGAGGCCCACTTTTCTTCTCAAATGACTTCACTGTACTTAATAGCTGAGAATAGCCTAGACTCATCTAATATTTTCTGATAAGTCAATGAAGGCATTCAGTTGCTTAAAAAGAACCTCAAACCATCCATTTCTTAAAATATTTACTAACCCTTTCTTTACAAAACAAGT